TGACTAAAGGACCACCTCCAGGTGTTCCAACTCCAGCCTCTGAGGATGTAAACACTGAACAGGTTCAAGATACTGAAGTCACTGAGGACGCTTCGCTGAAGTCACGAAAGCGACACACTGAGGAACTACGCTGTTCACTGGATGAAGATGTGATCGGCAAGAAACTGACAGCCGAACTGCTGTCATGTACTGCCTGGAATTCTAGTTACCTTAGGGTGAAGCTAACTGAACTTTTCTTTGTCCCAGATCCAACCACTGGTGAACAAAGGACTGGTGACTACTGGTTTCAACTTCCAATTGCATGGGTCAGATTCCATTACCAATTAAGAAACACGCTGTATGAGCCTGACTTCATTGACGGAGGACCAACTGAGGACCAACTTGGCTCATTGCGTTGGACTGTTTTCGTGAAATCACCGGACAGACCCAAGAGTGATGGAATGACTTACTGCAACTGGTGGAGAGAAGAAGATCAGAAAACTGATCAATATGAAGTAGGACTTGATGTAGGACATAGTTGGATCGGATACACCATCTTTGAGCCTGCACCACTGGAAAACTTCACTGAGGAACCAGAACAGGAGACGTTTGATGTCACTGCGCGTAAGCCTAAGGCACTGGCTTCTCCACTGGAACCGACACAGCAAGAACGAGAACTTCACAACTTGACACACTTACCATATCGTAGCTGGTGTGAGATTTGTGTCAAAGCGAAAGGTAAAGAAACTCCATCCAGAAGAAACTTGGACAGACAACCGGTCATCCAAGTTGACTACTGTTTTCTGACAACTGGTGATGGATGCCCAACCGTGACTGTTCTCACTGCTGTAGACATTCAAACTGGACTTGGTTCTGCTGTTGTGACTCCTAGCAAAGGTAGAGACCAGTACTGTATTGCTGAACTGAAACGTTTTGTTTTTGAGATTGGAAGAACTTATGGTATCATTCAATACGACCCAGAACCTTCACTGAAGGCTTTGGTTTCAGAAACGCTGACTGAACTTGGCGGAATGTCCATGAGAGCAACTCCACGTGACTGGAAACAGGCACATGGTTTTGTAGGTAAGTCTCAACAAAACTTTTACGGTCAAGCAAGAGCAATCAGACTGCAACTACAGGAGCGATACAAAGTGCAAATTTCCGTGCAACATGCTGTTTATCCATGGATCGTGAAACACGCTCAGTTTACTTTGAATCGTTTTCTCACTCACTCTGATGGAAACACCTCATACTTTCGACGTTGGGGAAAGAACTATAGCTCGACTGTGTGTGAGTTCGGAGAATCTGTTTTGTTTCGCTATCATGGAAAACTGAAAGACAAAGGAGACACTGCATGGAGCACTGGCATTTGGTTAGGACGTGACACTGAGGCTGATGAGCACATTGTGTCCACTGGAACTGGCATCACTAAGGTGAGAACTATCAAGCGACAGGTCCCATCCAAACAATGGGATCAGAAACTGTTTCTGAAACTTCAGGCAACTCCTTGGGATCCAAAAGCAAAACAGGTGATTGACACTTCATTTGTTTTGCCTCCAACTTTGACTCCCACTGGAAGAGTCCGTGAACCACCAGGACTCGAACGTGAAACTCAAACGGATACTGAGGATTTACCAACGAAAGAGACTCATGAAACTGTCACTGAAACGCAAGACGACTTGAGACTTGAAACGCTTGAGACGACTGAAACTGAAACGAGACTTCCACCGGAAACGAGAGTTAGAAACGAAAAACGAACTGCTGAAAATCAAGAACTTCCTGAAGACTTGCTTCCGGATGACAAACGACTCACTATTGCTGCAAAATCGGAGTTTTCTCTGTCACTTTGAAAGACGGAACTGAAGTTCCCGTCGCAGTAAACGAAGACACTGAAGAGAAACAGACAGAAATCAAACTGAATGAACCTCAACTGTTGAGAACTGAACCAGAATTTCCTGATGAACTTGTCATCGAAGGAATGCAAAAGGAAATGAAAAGCATGAAAGAAGTTGATGTGTATGAAGAAGTTCCAATAGAACAGTGTTCGCAAGAAGACATTGACTCAGCACTAGACTGTAAATGGGTGAAACGCTGGAAAACTGCAAACACTGTCAGATGCAGACTCACTGCTCGCGGATGCTTTCAAGAAAACATGGATCAAGACACTCTGTTTGCAAGTACACCTACACTGGTGACACTCAGAGTACTGCTTGTTATGATGTTGTCTAGAACATGGTCATGTTTTACTTGTGACATAAGCACTGCCTTTCTTCATGCACTCATGATGGATCGTGTAATGCTGATTCCACCAAAAGAGTACTATCCTGGGCAGAACTGCCTCTGGAGACTGAAACGAGCAATGTATGGTTTGAAGCAAGCGCCAGCACTGTGGCAACAACACTTTTGCTCAACGATGCTGAAACTCGGAATGAGACGCTGCAAAGCCGATCCGAACTTGTACTGTCATTCTTCTGGCGACTTGTATGTCCTTTGCTACGTAGATGACCTTTTGGTTTGTGGAAAGCACGAACTTGCCGTGCAATTCACCAAAGACTTGGAAAAGGAAGTTTTACTCAAAATTGAAGCTGAACTGAAGCCTGGTAAGTCAGTAAATTTTCTTGGACGCGTTTTGCGACATAATGGCGACAGCGTGGACATTTGCATGCCGCAAGACTATATCACTAAGACGCTGGACTTGTACAACATGGTCAAGGCTAAAGCGGTAGGAACTACGGGTACCACTAGTTTTTCACATAGACTGGACTTGGATGATCCACTAAGCACTGACGAACACAAAGTCTATCGCACTGCTGTTGGAAAACTGTTGTGGCTAGCTTTGATCAGACCAGACATGTCCTATGCGACTAAGGAACTTTCAAGAGACCTGACTGCGCCGACAAACCGAAGTTTACTGAAACTGAAACATTTACTGAGGTACCTTGCTGGAACTAAGGACTATGTGCATCGACTTCGTGCGGGGATCACTCTTAGTAGCAACAAATGCACTCTTGATTTGGACTGTTTTGTGGACAGTGACTGGACTGGTTGTCAGCGAACTCGAAAATCAACTTCAGGCGTTGTTGTTACTCCTCAACTGCCCTGTAGACTTTTGTGCAAGAACTCAGGGTATTATCGCGCTCTCCTCAGGAAAAGCCGAGCTGTACACGATAGGACAAGGAATTTCCGAAACACTGTACGTAAGAAACTTGATTCTCGATGCGGAACTGGCAAAGAAAGTCAAACTCCACATTTACACTGACAGCACAGCAGGAAAGAGCATGGCAACTAGGTTTGGTTCTGGAAAGAAAACCAAGCACGTTGAACTGAGATTTTTGTACATGCAAGACTTGGTCGCGCGGGGAGACCTCCAAATACGCAAAGTTCATACTACTGAAAAATGCGCCGACCCCTTTACTAAATACCTGGACACTGAAACATTGAAATCACACTTAGGTAGGTTGTGTGTTGAAACTGTTTTTCGTTGTTTTGATTTGTAACCTCGAACTATACAGGCACTGTTTCACCAAGACACTGCGGAAACTCACTTTGGTAGACTAAGTTTTCAAAGGGGAGACTGCTGCTGAATTGCCGCTGAACTGTAGCTGCAACTCAGCACTCTCACTTCGTTTTCTGCACTGAATTCGGCCAAGAGTTCACTGAGTTTTACCTTTACTGAATTTCAAGAAATCAAATCTGCATGACTGTTTGAACTGAGTACTGAACGGTACGAGCACAGGAACTGAATTCGACTCTGCAACTTGTTTTTCGTGGTTCAAACTCATTCGCTGTTTGACTGCAATGACTGGTAGAGACTGAAAAGGAATACTACCAGGTACTACGTCACTGTAGCGCTGCACTGCCTCCTCTCTGACACTGAGGATGGCAACTGAGACTGCCGCCGTGGCTGTCGCACGGACTGGAGAGACTCAGAATACTGAGGTAGCACTGACTGCTGCTCCTGACACTGAAGCCTACAATACTGTGATTGAGATGCTGAAGAGTCGGGAACTGGAACTTAGTGTTGCTCAGCTGGGACTGTTGGAAAGCGTGACTCGCCAGATGCTGGATCACAACTCAGCACTGGAAAAGAAGTGCGCTCGCCAATTGCTCAACCATACTGAGCTGTCATGCGCTACAGTGGACCCACTGTATTTGTGCCGTACTACTCGGCCCACTGCGACTACCAAGTGCAACTCCTTTGGACTTGGACTGTTGGTCGCACAGAAGGCTGGCTATGAATCCACTGATGATGTGTGGATTGGCGTACTCTCACCCAACTCGCTTTTTCCGGGTCTGAGTACTGCCCTCAGAGACAGAACTGCGACTGTACTCGCAGCCACTTCAACGGGTGACTACTGAGTACACTCACCTGACTGACAGGCAGGTGGACTATGACTACCCTGTCTTCCTGTCACTTCCACTCACACTGTCAGACTTGGCACTGGCAACTGGGAAAATCCCAACTGAGTGGTTTGATCGTTCACTGTGCAACTTGTGGACTGATCTTCGAAGCGCTTTGCTGTACTCAGCACTGCAGCTGTGGAAAGGTCAGGCGAACTTTCAGAAGCACTCCACTGAGCCACTGAGGGTCACTGCTGTGTGGCTCAAACGCACTAAGGTTGCGGGACTGAAGCAATTCAACCGAGGATACTTCAGCCACTCCTACGTGAATGCAACTGGTGCTGTGAACTTCGAATTGACTGACTTAGAGACTGAATCAAGTCAGACCTTCCAGACTGCCTACACACTGGCGGACTTTGCTGACCCACTCTCCAAGGAACTGAATGGCACTCGCTACTGCAATGCTCATCGTCGTTTTCTCTTTGGGCACTTGCCACTGACTCAGTTCCATATGGAAAAGGCTGGACTTGCCAGCACTCCAGCTGAACTGAAGAAGTTCACCTGGGACTACAGCTACGGCTCTGGGACTGCGGCCTTGCCAAACACTGAGACTGGCACTGATCTCAAGGTTGACATCCAGATCAGCGGACTTGGACTGTCATCCACTGATACTGTGATCACTGTGAAGAAGGCCGACTGAGATGACACTGAGAGATTTTGAATTCAGACTGTTAGCAATAGGAGTAAGCACTCAACTGAGAATGCTGAAGACTATATAGGTTGACTGTCTCTGCGTGAGACTTAGAACTAGCACTTTAGACTTTCACAAGTGTATTGAAGTCCATACTTCTCAAGACTTGGACTGTTTAACTTGCACGTGCTGTAATAAGTGTGGATCCTCAGTCACTCAACTGGACTGCTGATCCAAAGGGGGGTGTTAGATATGACTTCCACTCTGCACTCCACTGCACAGTACACTGAATCTACTGCACTGCCAAACTGTGGTTTGGCTCAAGTGGCTCAAGGCACTAGGAACTCAACTGACGCTGTGAGACATTGTACTGTGACTGATAGACTGTTCTGAGTGAAAACTAGAAGCTGACTGATACTGCACTGTTTGGTGGACTTGAAAGTGAACTTGACGCTTTGCAAACAAACAAGCAAGCAAGCAAGCAAGCAAACAAACAAACAAACATAGCAGGGGCCGCAGACCAATTTTAGCAAAGAGCTGCCAAGGGGCAAAAAATCTTTTTGATGGAGGATGGGCCACAGCAATGAATACATTGCACGAGCTGTTCTATGATGAAGTTGGTGCATCTTCAGGTGCCCATTCTTCCCTGCATGCTGATGTAGTTTGGGCAGGAAAAAATTGGAAAAAGGTTGTTGCAAGTTTGCGCGTGGTAAAATCTTACCTGTTTCTGCAGCCATTTGGGTTGACAAACGTCGTGGCCGGCGAATATGTGGGTGAGCCCACAGACTATGGGCCTGAGCATGTGGCAGAAGCGTTTCTAGCATACCCGAACTGAGTCAAGCTTCTTGGGTAGATCTAGTTTGGTTCTGTTTTGTTGTAAAAAACTGTATAGTGGGGATTTGTCTATTTGGGTTTGATGTACCAAATTTGGGCTGTTTCAGGTTGGTTTGAGTTTGGTTCATGACCACTCTGGACGATGCTTCAAGCGAGCAGCAAGTAAAAAGGTGACGCTTAACGATGAAGCCAATAAGGAGGTGCGGGGTTTTAAAAATATGTTTCAATATGTTTTCGAAAAAGGTGTTCAATCTGTTAGGTAATATTGTTTTCAATTTTAACTGGTCTGCAGGTTGTGGCCTGCATGCTGAAGGTGAGCTGTGGCCGTGGCTACTTCTCAAAGCATTTGATTGCCAAGGGTGTTTGCATGTTCTATGAGCAGCAGATCTTATACCCTGAAGGGCTCAATAGCAGGATGCCTGCGATCAAAGAGTGGAGCGCTCGCATGGGCTTGGCAATTTCCAGACTTGCCTTTCGGTTTGATTTCTTTCCTGTGGGGTTCAAACGTTGAGAATGCAAGAGTTAACTTATAGCAAGATGCATTTGATTCAATCTGAGGCTGCTCAGTTCCGTCCTCTCGCCCTTCGTTCCAGCACAAGCAAAAGTGCGGCTTTGCAATGGATTCGTGATGAGATTGCAGGCTTTGCAGAATCTGTGTTTGACCTTAGGCATATTCGATTTTGTTCATTGTTTTTGTCAATTTTTTGATCTGAGTTTTCACCTGCTTTCCCTCGACCAATTTTTGCGTACAAGGATGATGAAGGCATGCAAGAGGATCACCACATGGACCATGAAGACGATGCCGGCTGTGAGTCGGATTTGTCCAATACTAGCTCAGCCAGTTTCGACATGTCCAAGATCGAAGCGGTCATTTCGGTCTTGAAGCAGAAACAAGAGGCTTCGCACGAAAACGCTGCAAAAAAGGATGGCAGTGCCTGACAAGGCCTGGTTGTCCAATATGTTTTGTGTTTATATGTTCACATGCTTGGGGCCTTATACATTGAAATGTTGATTTCACATGTCTTCAGATTTTCAATGTGTTGTTTGGTTGGGTCAATGTGGACATGAACATTTTAGCTTCTTGTTCCCCCGTTTATCCAGATTTTAAGTCAGCAGTACTCGTACATATTGAGTTGTTCAGCACGTTGGCTCTGTCAACAGGTCTTGGCCGTTCTGGAAAAGATCACGCGTCCCCCGCCACTGCAAAAGGTCCCTGATGAACCCACAGGGGATGCTGCTCAGAGCATCCCCAGTGCACAGGCTACAGCCCAAAACTCCAAGAAGCCCTAGGTGAAAAAGAAGAAGGCATCTATGAACGGTTCCAAGGCTGTTGGGACCAAGGACACACCTCCGTGCAGTCAGAAGGTTGCTCGCGTAGCTGCCTTGATTGGCAAGTCTTTGGCTCCCAATATTGTTGCCCAAGACTCTGAAGGGTGACAAGATGCTTACAAGCCGGGTGAGTTCAATGAGATCTACCAGAAGTTTTTGAAGGACAAGAAAAACGAAGGCCACACCCACCGTGAGGCCATGACTTTGTGGAAGCCATCCGTGATTCGAGAGCGACTCCTTTTTGGAATGTCCGAGTCACAACGTAAGAAGAGACGTTTTGACTGAAATTATTGAGAAGCTTTTGTGGGTCAGCTTTTGGCTGCGCATTGACCTGGGGTATGGGGAAAAAAGTGTTCAAAAAAATACGGCAAGCATTCCTCCAGTGAATGTGTTGTCTGAAAGGTTTGCCAATGATATGGCCTGCAGCCCCTTTGTGTAAGCTTTTGGGGTTCAAGGTGACACATAGCCTGTGTGGTTTGTGCTCCGTTGGGGCCTGCCTCCATGCATGATCTACGCTGTGGTTCTTTTGAAGTTTAGTGGCACAGTGCCCAACAACCAGACACTAGATTTTGCAGAATACTTCGCTGGATGTGGCGCGCTGTCACATGGACTTCGGGAAGCCACTTGCATGAAAACACCTTGTCAGTTTTTCCTTTTGCTGTGATGTTTGTCGTTTGACTTTTTTGGGGTGAGGGGTAAGCAATCAACTTTGGAGATATGAGCCAAGGCTGGGTATCGAGGAATCGCTTTGGATATTGTCTTTGATCCTCGCACGCAGGATCTGACAAGCAATGGAGGGTTCTTGCGTCTTGGCTGCATTTAGTAATCGTTTTCTGGTGTGAGGGTTCTTGAATGAATGTCGTTTTGGTGAGGGTTATATAAGCCAGTTAAACTTATATACATAATATGATGGATTTTACTTAATGGTGTATGTTGTCAGGTGTGCCATTTCGCAGCTATGCCGCGTACGAAATGGAGGTTTAGTGGTGGTGGCATTGTTGTGCAACTCTGTCGGATGCCTCTTGAATCAATTTTCTTTGATGATTTGAACCCATTTTTTCAGGCACTTCACTTTGAATTTTAACATGTACCATGTACCAATGTTTTTCTTGTGTTCCTAAGGAGCCGTGCACCTTCCCAGCGCAGCCCACTGTTTCCTATGGGATGTGAGGCTTACGACTTTGTTGCTTGTGGCAACTTGCTTTGTGCACGAAGTGTACTTCTGCTTTGGCTAGCGTGTGTCTGCCAGATCCGATGGTTGTTGGAACAACCTCATGGCAGTATCATTGAATGCATGCCGAGGATGCAAGAGTTTCTCCATTGGTGCCATGTTGCCCGGCATTTTTTGAGTGACTTGTTTCGACTCCTTTCTCTTGCTATCGCAATTATCATTGCGACTCTTTCTGTTTTGAAGCAAGATAAGGTTTACCGTGGTGGATTTTGGATGATGAACTTTGGTGGTCCTACAGCAAAGAGGCATCTCATTTTTTGCAATGACAGCGTCATTGTGCAAGCAATGCGGAGTCGGGGTGGCCATTTGTCCAAAGAAAAGCGGGAGGCGCAAACCAAACATTCCCTGGTTGTGAAAACTGTCGATCGAAACGGCATTCGCCGCCAGACTGGTGTGAAGAAGGTTTAGAAACAGAGCCAGTGCATCACTCTTGCTTAGAGTTATTGTTTTCCCTGGTTCTTTGGTTTGCCTTCATCCTAATATTTTTGTTTTTCCTGCCCGATACAAACCATTCAAAAGTACTGCATATGATGACCTACTGTAGGAACTATACCATCGAGTTTGGGCGATTCATGGCATCGTTGCTTACGGCTGTGACGGACAAAACCTTCTATCCAGAACCTCGGGATGAAGGACGGCCCATTGATCATACCCGCACCGACTGGGAGCTCTTCAGAAAGCATTGCCTAGATCAAGACTATAACCTGGTTGGAGACATGTGGGTGGATGCTTGGCCTCCTTTATTTTTCTTATCAATTTGTGGCTTTCTTTTCCTGCCAGTAAAATTGCATGCTGTGCTTTGCAACGAAACTGAGGCAAAAATGGGCAATGTTTTGGATTACTTGGTGTCTTCCACAGGGGTGATGTCGAATCTTCCCGGGCACTGGGCCAACTTGACCAGAGTCAAATATCCCAGCAACTTGTCAAAAAATGTTCGGTGTGTTTGGATTGTGCTGGCAATGCGTACCCCAAAAATAGAAATAAAACCAAATCTTTTTGTCACTGCCTTCAATTTAACTAGACGACGGATGGCCCGAGAGCGTAGAGGAGCAGGGTCTTCTCTTGTTAGTATGGAGACACCATATTACAAAACAATATTTTAAAGATGTTTTATAGGCAGTCGAGAAGAGGAGTATCAAGACAATATAGCACAAGTACAAGACAATAGTTTGCATCGCAAACACTTTTACACACAGAAGCTTTCACACACAGACGCTTTTACACACAAAAGCTTTTACACACAGAAGCTTTTACACACAGAAGCTTTTACACACAAAAGCTTTCACACACAGAAGCTTTTACATACAGGCACTTTCACACACAGACGCTTTTACACACAGACGCTTGTACACACGGACGCTTTTACACACAGACGCTTTTACACACAGACGCTTTTACACACAAACACTTTTACACACAAGAGCTTTTACACACAGAAGCTTTTACACACAGACGCTTTTACACACAGACGCTTGTACACACAGACGCTTTTACACACAGGCGCTTTTACACACAGAAGCTTTTACACACAGACGCTTTTACACCGAGACCCTTTTACACACAGGAGCTTCTACACACAGAAGCTTTTACACACAGACGCTTTTACACACAGAAG